CAAGACTGGCCCAAGGTGCAGATAAGCCTCGAATTGCAACTGCCCTAACACCCAGGGCCGCTGGAGGCTCAGGTAACCAGGGCAACAGATCAACAAATGACAAGTGCTAGCAAGGATCTAGAGAAAAAGGAACCCTAGTACACTGCTGGTGGGAATGCAGACTGGTGCAGACACTAGGGAAAACACTATGACATTTCCTCAAAATATTAATTATGAAACTTCCATTTGAACCAGTCATCCCACTTTTGGGAATATATCCTAAGAAATCTGAAACACCAAGCAGAAAGAATGTATGTACCGTTATGTTCAAAGCAGCACAATTTACAATAGCTAAGATTTGGAAGCAGTACAAGTGCCCATCGGTAGATGAGTAGGTAAAAAAGCTGTGGTACATTTATACCATGAAATACTGTGCAGCAATAAAAAAAGAAGAAGGCTCTCTTACTGTTTGAGACATATGGAGAGACCTGGAGAATACTATGCTAAGCAAAATTAGCCAATCAGAGAAAGACAAGTATCAAATGATATTAGTTTTTTATGGAATCCAATGAACAAAATAAACTGATGAACAAAATAGATCCAAAGATAAAGAAACATGTCATAAACTGTGGAATCGCAGAGGGCAGGTGGGGGAGGGTGGGTAGGTGGGAAGAGATCAACCAATGAACTTGTTCATATATGATAAGCTATGGACACAGCCAATAGGATGATGAAGGCTTAGGATGTGGAGAGGGGTTAGAAGAGGTCAATGGGGGGAAAGGGGAAATATATGTAACTAGAAGCCCAGTGCATGAAATTTGTGCACGGGGGCAGAGGGGTGTCCCTCAGCCCAGCCTGCACCCTCTCCAATCTGGGAGCCCTCAAGGGATCTCTGACTGACTGCCCATTTATTGGATTTACTCCAATAATATCCACCCAGAATTGGTAGTTGGACATCCCTCTCACAATCCAGGACTGCTGGCTCCTAGTTGCTCACCTACTTCCCTGTCTGATTGCCACTAACTAACTGCCTGCCAGCCTGATCACCCCCTAACCACTCCCCTGCCAGTTTTATTGACACCTAACTGCTCCCCCCGCTGGCCTGATTGCCCTTAACTACCCTTCTCTGCAGGCTTGGTCATCCCTAACTGCCCTCTCCTACTGGCCCAGTCACCCCTAACTGACCTCCCTTGCAGCCCTTGCTCCTCCCAATTGCCCTCCCCTGCCAGCCATCTTGTGGCGGCCATCTTGTGTCCACATGGGGGCAGGCATCTTATGTGTTGGAGTGACAGTCAATTTGCATATTTGGCTTTTATTATGGGAAATACTTTCAACAGTAAAGATTTTTTTAAAAAGTAGCTTTCAGCTCTTTCTATAATAAGAGCTTAAAGAGAAAAAAATAGACATAATTTAGACTTGCTCCCTAGATTAACACCACTATTTTAGTTCCTTTCATCCATAGAATCCTTTACTATAGAGAATACCTTCTATGCCTTATCACCGGCAATTAATCACAGGGAAAAAATCAGAAATGAATAATTAACTCAAAATTTGGAAATAATAAATATTATTTCATTTTACCTTGCTTACATTTATAAATGGATATACAAACCTCAGAAAGATATAAATAAGTATCAGAACACATATGTTCTTCTTAAAAATTTGAAGAGTAAAAATGACTTTACTTTTTCCTAAGAGCAAATTCCCTGTTTGCCATGGTAGAACCTGCTGAAAAGGATGTTTTCTAGTCAATGTTTTATTTGCAAGAAAGAGAGATATAACATTTTATTATCCCAAAGACTTAGAGTAAAAGAAACAATATCGCTAAGCAAAAAATGAATTAACTGATACTGTGCAAACCCCAAAGAGCATTTTACAAGTTGAAGCATGTACAGCACCAATTATCTTATTATCTCATCTTACTCTCTGGGTGAATAGTGTAAAAGCCTACAATTACAGCTGATATTTGATTTCTTGGTTTCGTTTGCAAATGGAGTCATTTTCTTTTTTCGTGACTGCCATAAACACATGTTATATTGTTTAAGAGGAACAGACCTTATTTTTGCTATGGTATTTTTCTCTTTTTTGTCCCTCAGGTCAAAGGAGCTTTTTTCTTAATTAATCTTGTTGCAAATTGATGTAACACACCGTGTATCTGAATGATTTGCGATGGTCCTAAGTACCATTTGAGTAGAGGCTTTTTGGCATATCATTTGTTAAGAGACCAGTTCTGGAGAAGGTCCTTCCACTGACCAGATGTGTCATATTGAAACAGATTGAGGGCCTGCCAAAACACCATTCGCTGCCAGCACTGTATATTGTAGGGGTGCTCACCACCCTGTTACCATATTTTTGCATGTCTTAACATTGCATAAGTAGGCAGCTGTTCTGTATTTAGAATATAAATGAGTCACCAGCTTGCTCTCCCTGGAGGATTTACCTGGAAGAGGGAACCACAAACCTCTTCTGATCTCCCCTGCCAGAATGTCACATTGAAATGCACACTTCTCAGCTCATTCAAAAGCAAATCCTTAAGCAAATAAATCACACCTTTCCTGCAAGTTAGACAAGGGAACCTTGCTAAAATGGAACACATTTCCTTACCAGTGAAAGCTGCAAATTAATCAGTTTATAAACTGAGAGCAAGCAATTTGTGCTGAACAGTTTCTTATTGCTCTTTCAATACGAGACAAGGTTCTCTAATCTCATAGAGTCCTAACTTCATTAAGATGGAAAACCCTGTTAGAGGAGGTTTTGCAAGAGAAAAGAAAAGCCCTCAAGTCACTCAGGTGTCTCTCTGCAGTTATTCTCATGATGGGGGACTTCTATTTATTTGGAGAGTGACAATGAGCCTGGATGCACGGCCCAACCAAGAAGCAGAGTGATGCCCAGCTACAGTGGTTGAGCATTGAGTTATGAACAAGGAGGTCACAGTACAATTCCAGTCAGAGCATATGCTTGAGGTGTGGGCTCCATCCCCAAATCCCCAGTAGGAGTTTCCTCTCTCTCTCTCTGTCTCTCTCTGTCTCTCTCTCTCTCTCTCTCTCTCTCTCTCTCTCTCTCTCTCTGTCTCTCTCTCTCTCTCCCCCCTTCCTCTCTGAAATCATACATATATATATATATATATATATATGTGTGTGTGTGTGTGTGTGTGTGTATATATATATATATATATATATATATATATATATATATATATAGCAAAGTGATGAAGTGGGCCTTCATCACTTTGCCATATATTACAAGACACCAAAGCTGATTGGTCTAATCCACATTTACAGCATTAATTTTTATTTCAAATAGCATGGCCAATTTGTAAGTATATACACACATGTGCATATATCTATAGTATATGTGTATATAATATGTACCCTATATAGTAAAAGTGTGATATGCAAATTGACCCTACTAGGGGAACAACCAGTTGCTATGATGTGCAGTTACCACCAGGGGGCAGATGCTCAACACAGGAGCTGCCCCCTGGTGGTCAGTGCACTTCCACAGGGAAGCAGCACTCAGCCAAAAAAATAGCTCATGGTTGGCCAGTGCAGCAGTGCTAAGGGTATCTGGCTAACGGCTTAGACCCACTCCCCTCAGGGAGCAGGCCTAAGTGGGCAGGTGGACATCTCCCAAGGGGTCCCAGACTGCAAGTGGGCACAGGCCAGGCTGAGGGACCTCCCCTTCCCCTGCCCCGCTTAGTGCATAGATTTTTGTGCACCAGGTCTCTAGTATGTGTATATGTATATATGCTATATATACATAAACACACATCTATATTTATGTGAGTATATTTATTTGTTTTACCCATAGGCACACTTAGGAAGCACACTTGTCTGTGTTGGAATATCAAAGAATAAAAAAGTCAAGGAAGTTAGGGAAAAGAGAGGCAGTTGAGGTAGGTGATGTATGAACTGTTATCAACTATTTTTGTGAATGTTTGCCTTTATTTGCTAAATAAACTCAGCATCTGCAATCTAATAGACCAAGTTATTTCTCCAGGCTTTTCAGGTTGCCAGCAGAAGGAGAGTGCACACAGATAGATAGGTGACATTTGGAGAGCCAGGCATGCCAGATTTTCAGAGGTTACAGCAGAGGTCCAACCTGCTGTTCTCCTAATGAAAGGAGGGGAATTCAGGCTGGCAAAACTGCTATAAGGGATATCTCTGCTCCGAATGCCACGCTGTCCAGATGTCGCTCGGCAGGTGGAGAAGCAGAGAGAATGAAAATGTAACCCTGTGCGTGTGGGTGCTGGAGTGTTGCAAGGGTGAACAATGAGTCCATCTTCTGAAGTGTAATGAAAACAATGTGGATCATGTCCATATTCATGTCAGGAGAAAGGCCTTCTCAAAGATTTCTCTCCCACTTCCTGTTCACAGTGGTGAACCCAGCTTGTTTCAGTGTTTTAAGTATAATTTGACCATTTATTTTATATATATATATATATATATATATTATTGATTTTTTTTTTTACAGAGAGGAAGGGAGAGAGATAGAGAGCTAGAAACGTCGATGAGAGAGAAACATCGACCGGCCGCCTCTTGCACAACCAACATACATGCCCTTGACCAGAATCAAACCCGGGACCTTTCAGTCCACAGACTGACGCTCTACCACTGAGCCAAACTGGTTTCAGCTGAACATTTATTTTAATATATTTATATATACATCTGTATGTGTGCTTTTTAAATAGAAGATAGGATCATACTACATAAAGTTTTGTACTTTGAGTTTTATTTTGAATAATGTAATTATTTATGAACTATATCGTGAACATTTCTACCCTTTTTTTCCTCAGACTTACCTTATTTTTAAGTCAAATTTTATAGCAAAGGTGCATTGTCACAGTTATTCATTTTCCTGTTAATGAACACTTAGGTTGATTCTAGGTTTGGTAAGTTGGGCATGCTTATGTAGTCACTCTGGTAACTTTTTTCGAACAAAGTAAATGAGACTTTAAGTTACCTTTGTAAGAGATGAGGCTGTTATTGAATTTTCTTTCAACTACAATTGTTTTCCTTCAGTGTTACGAGATGACTTCCGGCAAAATCCCACAGATGTTGTGGTGGCAGCTGGAGAGCCTGCCATCCTGGAGTGCCAGCCCCCCAGAGGACACCCCGAACCCACCATCTACTGGAAGAAAGACAAAGTTCGAATTGATGACAAGGAAGAAAGAATAAGTGTGAGTGAAATTAAAATGAATGCCTAGAGAAACTGAATTTCAAGTCTTAAAATTGATATATTTTATTTTATTCTGTGAATAAAATTGTCAAACTGCATTTGAATACTAACTACCTTTTACACTGTACTGAAAGGACTGAAAAGAGTAACCAAAAACAATATCTTTGGAATGAGGTTTCGAAAACAAAAATTATATAAATCAAGTGTACATAATAGATCCAGAGACACAGAAGCATGTAACAGACTGTGGAACCTCAGAGGGAAGGCTGGGGAGGGTAGGTGGGTGGGAAGAAATCAACCAAAGAACTTGTATGAATATAGTAGCGTGCATAACCCATGGTCACTGACAATAGGCTGGTAAAGGCTTGGGGGTATGGAGGTAGGGCTAAAGGGTCATTGGGGGATAAAGAGGGACATATGTAATACTTTCAACAATAAAAATTAAACATAAATAAAAAGTAATAAAAATCAAAATGAACAAAACAGTAAAAAATAGAATTGCACCAACTTGAATATGTAAATATATATTTGCAGCTCAATATTGCAGTCTCTGCTCTTTTTAAGATCTTCAAATGCATCTGCAGCATGTGATTGTTAAAGTATAAATGATAGCCATAAACCATATTAACTAAGGTATTTCTTTTTGCATTATTTTAAAGATTATAAAATGAAATAATTTAAGGTGACAAATATTCCAAGTACTTTTCCAATTTAATAATATTTATAATCAAATTTTCATACATGAATTCATTTAAAAGTTTAGAGATTATAAAGTAAAATGAAAATAATAATGACTGGCTGGTTCTGCAGTTTAGCCCTTATAGAAAAATAGTATATTTTTAAGGGAAAGTAGTAATTAGCTGCATTAGTTTATTAATCAAAATAAAACACCCAGAAAATGGTAAAGTGGTAGATAAAGTAATAACATACAATTATTTTATTTTTTCAGAGGGTCTACTCAAGATTTGGACATGAAGTTTGTAAAAACCAGTCTACTAAAATAATAGATAATGCATTAACATTCTGACATTATCTTTAGTGTAATTTTTGAGAATTACACTGAGTATAATAATTGAGAATGAATATTTAAAAAAATAATATCTCATTTAACTGAAAAAAATGTTCCATTTCTATCAAAAGTTCCTGTAGTCTGAGTGTCTATTATCTCTAAAAATATCTAATAAATACTTTTTTTATTGTGTGTACATTGTGATTATATCATAACACAGAACCAAATAAGCCATGTAGGAGATCACAACATGTATATATGTTATTCCGTCTTGAACTCTGAGGATCTACATTGCCCTGGAGAACTTGTTTGGTAATGCTCTCTGCTAGGGTACCAAGTTATGAAAATGTGCTCCTGATGAAGGAATAAAATCAATGTTCAAGAGTTTCTACCTCATGTTAGTATCATTTAGCTTTAGCTTTATAACAAACCATCTCAACCACAGTGGCTTTTAATAACCATTTTATTTAGACTACTGGAGGCCTGGTGCACAAAATTCATGCATGGAGGGGGTTTCCTCAGCCTGGCTGCACCATCTCCAATCTGGGACCCCTTAGGGGTTATCCGACTGCCGGTTTAGGCCCAATTCCACATTGAGCCTAAACCAGAGTCAGACATCCTTTTCGCAATCTGGGATGACTGGCACCTAACAACTTACCTTATTTCCTGCCAGATTGCCCCTAAACTCTCTGCCTGCCAGCCTGATTGCCCCTACCTTGCCCCACTGCCTGCCTGATTGTCCCTAACCTCTCTGCCTACCTGCATTAATTGCCCCAATTGCCTCTTCTCTCCCCTGGCGGCCTGATCTCACCACCAACCACCCTCCCCTGCAGGCCTGATTGCCCCTAACTGCGTCTGCCTCAGCCCCCGCCACCATGGCTTTGTCAGGAAGGAAGTCAAACATCTGGAAGATGGCCAGTTGACCCGGTCTAATTAGCATATTACCCTTTTATTAGTACAGATAAATTATATAGGATAGGATTGCTTAAATGGGGGTAGGGAAAAATCTTTTTTCAGCAGAAGAGATGCTCCTGGCAGACAATAACACATAATCCTTATATCTGGACTGATGGCCAGCCATATGCACTATTCTGTCAAACCAGTCATTGAAAAATTGAATCTTATACCTTACACCAGTGTTTCCCAAACTTTTGACATATGTGTACCCCTTCTATAATTTTTGTAATAGTTAGTACCCCTCGTACTCATGAGAACATAGAATTAGGCGCAGCTAAGCACAATGCAATGCATATCTCCACCAAACTCCAATGCAACGGGTACCCCCACCAAACTCTTCCCATACCTCTGGGGGTACGCATACCACACTTTGGGAAACACTGCCTTACACCAAACAGCTATTGCCCTTAAAACTTCTCCTCAGTCCCCACCTTAGGTTCTGCCTTCACAGTTCATCCAGAGTAGGTTTCTATGCCAGTCAGTATCAAAAGCTCTGCTTCCTAGGCAGCCATTGGCTCCTCACACTTCACCCATATTTGGTTCTGATTGGTCTATTTCTATGTCAGTCAGCATCTCCAGACCTGATCATTGAGGCAGAGCTGATCAGCAGCCACCTGAGGCTACAAGTGAGTAGGCTGAACTGCCGACCTCTGGGAGAGAGAGAGACTTGGTTGCTGGCGAAGCCATTAGTGCTGCTGATCAGGCCCACATCTCTCTCTCTGAGAGGTTAGCAGTTCAACCCACTTGGCATGCTATATGTGCAGCCTGGTGTTTGGTCGAGCTTTTGTTCATTCTGGATGTTATGGACATTGGCTCTTTATATAAATAGATATACAATTCTGTAGGTAAACTGATAGCTCTTCACTCTGGCCCAGCATATTTGATGTTTGCAAGGCTTCCTCATGCTTCTGTGGCTTATTTAAAGATGTGCTGACAGATGAATGATCTAGGATAACCTCACAACACACCTGGCAATTGACAGACTCTCTGCTGGGCATCTTCATTGCCTCATGGTCTCTCATTGTCCATCAGGCTGATTCAGGCTAGTCCCCATTGTGGTCCCAGGGTTCCAGCTGCAACAAAAGAAGGCAAGTCCCAATGTCCATGTACCTTCCTTCTGGTAAAAAATTGTGTTAGTTTCATTGATCAAATCAGGCCATATTGCCAAATGCAGCCTCAAGGGGAGAAGAAATTGCCTCCATCACCATTTTTATAATGTCAACTTTATTATGCTGTACTGTATATAACTGAGAACATGTAGAAAGTCTCCCCAGGTTATAAGAAAATAAGTAGGAAATGCCTTTCTATAACTTGACAGATTTTAAAGCTAGAAATATCTCTAGTGAGAAGATAACTATATTAGTGTGGTTTGCCTATGAATTTAAAAATTAACAAAGAAAAAGAGCATGTTCTTATCTCTTATCTCTTTAAAAACAGTCAGTCATTGTCAAGTGAATGAAGATTGTTAGATTAGAGAAATAAAATTTTAAAAATCAGCAAAATTGGAAAACAAACTATGAGTTAATGATAAACTTACTGAAAACCTAATTCTCACTTAGCTTCCTCTTTAACAGATAGAAATTTAAACAAGATTACATGTTTATTAATTCAATACATGCTTTTGACTTAAGACCTCTAGAGAGAAGCTATTAAAAAAAATGTAACAATTCATAGGCATCATTCCAAAAATTTGAATTGTTTTTATTCATACCTTTCTATTCAAAAATTTTCTCAAAATTAAAATTAAGATGAGCCGAAACTGGTTTGGCTCAGTGGATAGAGCATCAGCCTGCGGAATGAAAGGTCCCGGGTTCGATTCCAGTCAGGCATATACCTTGGTTGCGGGCGCATCCCCAGTAGGGGGTGTGCAAAAGGCAGCTGATCAATGATTCTCTCTCATCGATGTTTCTAACTCTCTATCCCTCTCTCTTCCTTTCTGTAAAATATCAATAAAATATATATAAAAAAATTAAATTAAATTAAATTAAATTAAATTAAATTAAGATGAGACAAAGATAATACAAACAATTTAAAAGTAAGCTCCAGGAAGGCAAGCATTTTTATATTTGGATTACTACTGAATCCCAAGTGCCTAGAAAACTGCCCAACCTGTAGAGATGGGTATTCAATAAATACTTGTGGAGTCCCTCTGAGTCAGTTGGATTAATTTTACTATCCAAAGCTAATACCTGGTGCTCCTTTCTGACAACAAAGTCAATAGTGGTTCATCCAACCAAATCATAGAGTGAAGACCAAACATTGGTATTTTATGGGGACAGTCACAACACACAAAATAGACCAGGCAGGAGATGAAGTCTACCTTAAAGAACCATTCTATAGAAATGAAATTGGAAGCTTATTTTGGAGGAGAATTTAAGAGAGAAAAAAAGGGCACATGCAGATGTCAAAATAATGGGAGAGTTTTAAGTCCTAGCTCCAGAGCTATTTCCTTTAGGAAAGACAAACAGGCTTAATTATTCAAAATTATTTATTAGTGAAGTTTCCTTTCCATTCTTTTTCTCCTTTTTAATTTTTATTTGTATTTTAATAGATCCGTGGTGGAAAATTGATGATCTCCAATACCAGGAAAAATGATGCAGGGATGTACACCTGTGTTGGCACCAATATGGTGGGAGAAAGAGACAGTGATCCAGCAGAGCTGACTGTTTTTGGTAAAACTTTCTTTTAATTACGAATTGCTATTTGTATCATTTTCCCCTTTGTTTTGAAGTGTTTTTTATTACTACTAAACACAGGCCATATAGAAACAATTTTTTATGACTTATGGTAAGCTGGAATTGTCCATTTTTTTTGTTTTGTTTTGTTTCTGTCTCCAAGATGAATCTTTGATGGGAAGAAAAAGAAGACATTTGAAATGTTAATCCACCTACTCTATTCTTGTATTTATACAGTTTTGCTTTTCATCATAATATAAATAATTGTACTTTTTCAAAATCTATTTGAGATATTATATCCTAAAGTTTATCACTTAGTCTATGATGCATTTAACAAGTATCTATTATGTGCAAGACAAAGGGTGTTTTTCTCAAGTTATAAATTTTAATACAAAGATGTTTTACTTTTTTCCTACTTTTAAAATTTCAAATTGAGGTATTTGGAATTTTAGCTGATTATTGAAAGACTAGAAAGAAAATTAGAAAGAAAGAAAAAATTATTTTGTTATGATATTTATGTTTCTTCAACTTTAAGGACCAATGGACTCTTTAGCTGAAGGTTTAATTTATCAGTTAAAACCTGACAGATATGTATCACAGAAATAGTGGCGAAAACATTAAGAAGGAGAAAGTTGTGGATAATAAAGATGGCCAAGTAAACAAAAGTTAGGGCAGCTGTGGAATATTGTAAGAAAAATGATAGAAAACAAGAATTCTAAAGATACTAGAAAATGAAACATTCCTTACGAAGACAACAAAATCCCATTCAAATCTCTGTATGGAGATATATATTATGTATATACACACTCATAACTGCACACATGCATGCACATATGCACACATGTACTTAAGCATATTTAAATGTATTAATATATGTATCTTAATAAAAATTAACTATTGCAAAGACATGTGATTTTCTTTCCAACCTATAAGAGATAATTGTGATATTTTTAAAGTATTCTTTTTGTGTACCAGTAAGAGACTCCTGGTTCTATGCACAATATGATTTTTTTTTTTTTTTTGCCAGAACACCTCTCTCTGAAGGTAGCAACTGGATCCTGAATAAGTCCCTAAATAAACTTCTTTTTAGTTTGTGAAGTGCCACCTCATAGGGTAAAAGAGTACCATAATTCAAAAACCAGCTTTGTTATTATTGCAATTCCATTTTTAGCATCAGGGTGTGCTTTATGAATATGCACCAGAGTGCAAGCCCCTCTCTTCAATCACTCTGAGTATAAGTAATCTCTGGTAATACTCCTTGCAGACACTAAGCAGCTTGAAGTCCCAAATGACAAAACCAGGAGAAATCTCATCATCTATGAAAGGAATTGAAGAGTAAAATAAAATTATTCAAGTATGCATGTAAATTGCTGTCCTGCAGAGTATAGACAAGCATCCTTTTTTTCGTAAAATTTTATGTAGTCACCTATGAGTCCCAAAACGTATTCCACTCTGTAATGAATAAAATGCAGTTTTGTCTGGCAATATACAAAATTATTGGTCACTGAGCATGAGCATTGAAAACCCACAAGAAACACTCATGCTGTTTTTCCATAACTACCACAGCTTTGGGTCAGAAAAATGTTGCATTACAGCAGTATTTACTGCTTTCAGGAGGAATTTGAAAGTGTTTAATCTTATTACCTGAGCAATTAGACTTACCAAACTGTGATTCTGTTATAAAATATTTACCTAAAGATGTGATGAGAAGTCCAGGAGAACCCTAAACATGTCAGGAGTTACAGGGTGACTTCTAAATTATTTTGAAAATAGCTATAAACCAAAGAGATTGAATTTGTCTAGAGGCAGTTTCTCTGGAAGAATTGATTTAGGAAGCTGAGAAATATTTATCTGATGGTGTAAACTAGTCAGAACTGACCTAAAGGGTTACAAGTACAATATTAAGTTGTGGAGGAAAACTAAAATTCCATTATTGATAAGAAAAAAAATACCATACACATCCAAACCAAGAAATAGAAGATAAAAACAGTAGCAATGGTCTAACCAAGGATGTGACAAGTACTGCCTGAGATTCCCCAATTCTTAGAGAAAATAAAATAACTAGTGTGTTCTGTATAATGAGGCCTTCTTTATTTTATTTTGATGCTTTTGCATCCAGGACAGGTTTACTTTTAATCCCCTTTATATTTCATCATTGTTAGAATTATCAACTCTGACCTAAGTTTAGAAAAGCAAAACTGGTTACATTCTTTCCCCTCTCTCTCTCAACTTTATTTTCATGTATTAGAAATTCTTCTTTTAAAAAAGTATGGCTATTGCCCTGGCTGGTGTCTCTGAGTGGTTAGAGCATTGATCTGGTCCAGGTCATATACCTGGGATGCAGGTTTGATCCCAGGCCCAGGCTGGGTGCATGTGAGAAACATTCCATCTATGTGTCTCTCACATCAATGTTTCTTTCTTTTTTCCTCTCTCTCTCTCTTTCTCCCTTCTATTCTCTCTCCTTAAAAAGAAAAAAAAAAAGTCAATAGAAAAAATATTCTCAGGGGAAGATTTTCAAGAACAACCAAAAATCTGGCTAATATAACCACTGTAGTTATAGGAAGCTTTAAAATATCCTTTGCAACCCCATATTTACTTTAAGACATGTAATACAGAAAAAGTAATGATAATATTTAATTGTTCCAAAATATTATATACTCATAAATAGCAAGAAAAACAATTAAAAGAATAAAGGGTCTTTACTATAATAATATAATATCCAACCCCAAATATTTTGATTCTCTATAAGTGGTCTTGGACTTAGATCTTCTGTAGCTTGAAAATTGCAACTTATATTTTAAAGATCTGCCCTTTAGACAAAGATATGATCAATGTAATGTAATGTTCAAAATGTTACTATAGCATACTCTATGAATCATTTACTCTGTTCTCCTTTAATGTAAAATAACATCCAAGTCTAAAATTTATAAACAGGTATCATAGTGTAAATCCTAAAATAGATGGGAGGGTTTAGATATCTTTATAAAGAATACTCCCCCATGTCTGGTGTGGCTCCATTAGTTGGGCCATCATTTCATATACCAAAAAGTGGTGAGTTCAGTTTCTGGTTAGGGCACATACTTAGATTGAGGGTTTTCATCCCCCATCAGGCACCTGCTGATGGCAGGAAATTGATGTCTCTCTCTCTTTCCCTTCCTATATCTAAAATGAATGTAAGAAGTAGAATACTCCATAGCAATTTACATATTTCAATTAAATTCCCAAGATCCTGACCCTGCCAGTGTGGCTCAGTGATTGAGCATCGACCCATGAACCAGGAGGTCATGGTTCATTTCCTCAGGGCACATGCTTGAGGTATAAATTCAATCCCCAGTAGGGGGAGTGCGGGAGGCCTTTGATGGATAATTCTCTCTCATCATTGTTGCTTCTATAATATCTCTCTATTCCTCTCTGAAATCAATTAAAAAACACACACCAAAAAAAAAAAAATCCATAAATTTGCAAGATCCTGAAGACAGAGAAACTAGAGTTAAATTATATAGTTAAATTTATAACAATGGTTAGGTTTGGGATATCTGTTATACAAAATTTAACTGGTATTAAAAAAACAAACAAACAAAAAATATACAAAAATTTTTCCAAATGATTTTAAAATGTTTATCAAAGTAATACATGAAAAATATTTTATATGTCACATTTCTAATAGACCCTAGAAGTATTATAAAACTAATAATGAAAAAAAATCTGCCCCACCTTACTTTCCAACACACACACACACACACAACACACACCTCATTTTTAAACATTCTTACAAGCCTCATTTTAAACATTTCTTCTGAGACTAATTTCCTTACTTCTAAATATGTACTTATTCCACCACTGTACATTATTTTGATTTCCCATTTTGGAAAATTATGATTTGCCCCGCTTCTATCCCCTGACCCACCTTCTGTCCTCCACTTTGCCTTCTGTTGGTCCTTCCAATGACTTCAGAAACATTGGTTATATTGATATTCAGAATTTGAATTATTGTAACCATGCAAATATAGACTGTGAGTTGTGTTATGTTATGAAGGCACATTTTCCTGGTACAATATGTGTTCTCCTTTGAGTTAGTAATAATTTTTCTTTTATGTTTGTCTACACCTATCATGAATTATTTTTGCAGTTTCTAACAGAACATTTAAATTCCTCCAAATTTTTATTTAGGTATGAAGTCTATCCTGGCTATAGCCTTCCTGGAGGCTTCAGGCTGCTGGCCTGATCCAACTGGGCTGGGTGCTCCTTAGACCTCTCCGCAAACGTCATCCTCATATCTCTCTTCCCTTTGCTCTGTTAATGGATGGGCATCTTTCTGCATCCTGTGTGTTTTTCTTGGGTATCTTCTATATCAGAAATATTTCTCCTTCTTTCTACCTAACTTGAGTCTAGAGCTCATTACACATCAAATGCCTTTATTCCATCTAAATTATATTTGATAATTTAGCTGCTTATAGAATTCTACTTTAAAAAATAGATATTTTGCTCATAATATTAAAGTGCACCTCCAGTATTAATCAGCTCCCACTGTTGCTATTAAGAACACTGCTGTGCTTTTGATCCCCATGTGACCAGTTTTCCTTTTGTGCTTCTAGTGCTGTCCTTTTACCCCAGCCTTCCAAATGCTTCAGCACTGTGCCTTGCTTTGGCACTGTTTTAATTTTAGTGGATAGACACCTGGTAAGCAATCTCTATCACAAAACTCTTTATCCAAATAAGTCAAAGTAATATCCTATCTATTTTTTATATTCCATTTCTCTGTCAAATGTGTATGATAAACCTTCTAGGCCTTTCTTTTCTCTAATTCTTCCCTATTTATGTCATCTTGCTCTTGTTTCAGGGATATCTTAACCTCTCTTATTTCTCAGGATTTTAAAAACACCATTTTTAAAATAAAATTTACTTGTGAATCTTTCCTGCTTTTATGTCTTCTGAACTTCTTCTTCCCACTCCACCCTGCATTGTTCAGTCTTTTACACTATCAAGGTAGGATGATC